CTGCTAAGTAAGAATTTAACAGCACATTTATTCATATTTGGGCAACTTGCTTTCTGAGAAGCTGGCAGGGAAGCCTGTTGCATAAAAGCAAAGAAAATCACATAATGCAGGAAAGACGCTGCAGTCAGGCCTGCATTGTCTGCAATTTTTGTGCTTGTGACGGGGTCCCAAGCAAACACCTCAGAAGAGCAGTCACGAGCTATCAAAATGGGTGGCCTCCTTTCCAGGACAGTTGGATACAGGATGACACAACCTTCTCGGAAGGTCTTACAGCCTCCCCAAGATGATGAGATGAAGCCCATGCACGACACCCTCCTGGCTTCGACCGTGCCCAGCAACACACCGGTCTGTGTCCCAGCGACTCTGCTCGGCCCCTTCCAGCCCGACTTCTCCCCAGCAAATCCAGCTGGGGATTCGGCTTCCGTGGGATCAGGCATGTCCCGACACGCGGCCCGTGCGCAGCCATCCCGCCCTGCAGCCGCGGCACCGGCTGCTCTCCGTGCCGGGGGACCCTCCTGCTCGTACACGTACACATGCTGTAAGGACAGACACGCTCTTCGTTCTGCTTTCATTTGCAGCAAGCTCAGTCCAGAAATCTTGCTAAATTTGAGGCTCTACAACATCCCCTAGACCTGAAGCTTTAGTTTCATTAGCCACCACAAAGGAAAAAAAAAGATATTTTTTATTACCCCAATCTGCCACCCTTTAATTTCATTGAACACACCTCTGTGCTATGAGGAGCAGAAGAAGGTTCTCTTCTGTGATACATTTTCTGAACCACAGTTTCATATATTCTCATCATATCTGCTATTATTCCTCTCCTTTTCAAGGACATAGTTCCAATAATTTTAATTACTTTTGTTATGAGACACTCCACACCTTGAATGATTTCTCACCTGCTTTGCAATGAAGATTTCTTAAAATAGGGGCTTATTCATATAGTGGCTTCTATCTTTGCATCCATCATGTTTTCTATGTATTATTCTACTTTTGCGTTTTTTTCTCCAGTTTAACAGCAATCTTCCCATCTTCCTTCGCAGCCAGCTCCTCCACAGATCACAAATGTACAGGGAGGTCACCCATTGTAACTGCACAGGGACAAGCCTTAATCATTTAGTGCTCTGTTTTACCTTCTGCTTCTCGGTTAGTTTTTAATTCATGCCATTTCACTTGCTACAGCTTAATTTTTCTAATAACCCTGTGCAAGACACTTCGGAAGTCCTCGGAAACCTCTGGTTAACCTATTTTCTGTGAGTCTGCAAAGAACAGATGCGAGGTTGTTTCACCTAACGTAGAGACAACGGGATGCTGCATGCTGACCCTGCGCTCTGCAGCTCGGGCAGCGGGTCAGTCTGGCGCACACGTGCCAAGGTCCATAGGGTTTTCCAGGATCTGTCTGAAAGGTTCATATGGGCTGTACAGGCTCACTTGCTGACATGGTTTGAGTTTCTTCTTCCCCATGTCTCTCACTTCCCAGGGAATTGGGGAGAGCAACCAGACTCTCTCCTTGTCTTCACGTCCCGAAGTCCTTCCCTGCATCTGTTACAGCTTGCGTCCACCTTCTGCAAACATAGGTGAGTGCAACAGGACAACCCAGGTGGCAGCTTACAGGTATAACGTAGAGAAGCAAATCCACTCCTCTTCCTGCTGGAAATACCCATCTGGAGCCGCATGTTTGCAGCTGCCTGTTCCCCGAGTCCTCGCACTGATGAATTTTGGGCCCGGCTGATGCACTCAGGCCTTCGGGCCTTGCTCGCTCTCATCAGTGAGCATGAAGGCTGCTACAACTGCAGCCTGTGCTGCTCAATCTCACCGACTTTCCACTACTGCTTCCCTCGAACGCTCTGCACAGAATGGCCCAAGCACCCTTCCTGCACATAACATATTCAAACAGCAGATTTATTAATAAAAGAGATGAACAAAAGATTTTTTCCCTGTTATTCCCCCCAGAACTGCAAGGTTTCTTCAAATGCATATACAAGGAAAAAGCAAGTCTGTATTAGGTGGGTCCCTGACAGTGGAAGCTGGTAGAATGAAATTAAGCTTGCCCAGAATGTGCTTATCTGCCATCCTCGATCTGTCGATCCCTTACTGATAGGACACATGCAATGAAGCTGTCTGTTCTTTATAAAATACTTTCTTCTTCTCCCCCTAAACATCAGCTCATTGCTCTTCGAATGGCATTTACTGAGTTTTCTGCTTTGGGCTCCACTATTACTTGTGGTGGGGCAAATTTCCAGATTCTGCAAGAGGTCACCTTAGTTCAAAGACCCCCTTGCATTTTGATGCTTGGCCACATTGCTTTACTCTTCTGCCACTCAATATAGGGTATATGCTTTTTTCTTTATAATACTATGCATTTGCCGGTCTGACCCTGCCTTCTGACATCGCATCCAGAGAGATTCCTCAGCCAGACTGCCCACAAAAACTTCCCTACCTCTCTCATCAGGGTGCCAAGGCCAAGCACTTGGCACCATCTCCGTGGGTTCTTCCTAAGCATTAAGGTGCTCTTTGCAGGAAAAACAAATTTTTGGACAAAAAAGGCTAAACATTGAAAATTAGACTTTGGCTGCCATTGCACATACCAACATATAGCAACTGTCGGAGTTGCACGTATACCCTGCTCCTCAAAAGCAGAGCAGCTCCAGGAAGCGTGTTCTCCTATACAGGATATGCCAAAGTGGGAAGGGGAGAACCTGAAACCAGTTCAGACAGAAGTCTTAATTGAGTAAAATGTTGTTAACTCTCTCTTTGAAGACACTGTGCAGGCGGCCTGTGTGCAGAACCTGCTTCTGACTCCATGCAGTGAAGAGACCACAGCCTGAAGCACCGGGTTACTGAATGTGGCGACATCCCAGCACGGGGTCATGGCTGTAGTTTGTGTCTCCAGGCTTTAAAAATCTGCTCTGCTCCCGAGTCTGTCCACGCTGCTTCACCTGGGTGAAAGCCTCGTCCCTCAAGGGCAGCTTGTGCTCCTGCAGCTCCACGGTGCAGGCTGCACCCCAGGGATGCTTGGAACTAATTTATCATGCAGCTGGGAGCAGCAGGGGGTAGCAGAAAGGGCTGACATCTCCACTTAGGCATAGGCATTTTAGGTATAATTGGAAATTGCTGCCTGGCATCACCTTGCTGCTTGAAAAACTGCAGAGAGAAAGAGGGGCAGAGGGTATCAGAAAAGCAATGACTTGGACACAGGAAAGGGGATGGAAAATCCTAAAAACAAATCCCCTAAATGAAACAAGCTTCGTCTCCTTTTATTGGGCAAGAATTATGGACATTTTCTTCTCTTAGTATTCTTGTAAAATATAACTGACAGTCCCTGACAGAGACCAAAAGACGTCACGCACAGGAACTTGGTGTTTCGGGGGCTCCGAGGTCAGTGTCCTGCCAAGCGCGGGAGGGAGGAATCGCTCCAGGGTCCTGTGGCACCCACAGAAACAGCCTCTTTTCCTGCCGGTCCCATCACGTTCTTCTGCACTCCGGAGCACCTTTCTGCACCGTCTCCATAGGGCTCCTCTAACGGAAGATCCGACTCAACCCTGGGTTTGACCTTCAAGGGGACTGGGTCATTCCTCAGGATACTCAGGCACCCATCGAACCTACTTCATTTTGCATTTTTAAGGCAAGGTGAAGCACTCTTCTGCAAACTAAATACATATATACACACCTTGACTGTTTTACAAGTAAAGTGTTTAAAAGTAAGCTCAGGGTAATTAAATACCAAACAGTGAATCTATTTGTGCACTGCAGTCTAAGTCAAGGCTGTTTCGAGCTATCAAACATTTTTATGCCTTTTAGAGACAGAGATTAAAATAGACTTTAACGTAATTGGAAGCAATGATCTAATACTTCCAGCTTAAAGGCAGCATTATTGTAGCTATAAAATAGTGAGAACACATTTAAAGGCTGGACAGAGCAGGTTTGTTAACTCTTGCTCAGTTTAAGCTACTGGAGTGTTTAAAAGACACTTTTTTCATAAGTATATATAAAGCTACCAATAAAATTAGAAGAGCCACCGAGGCCCCTAAAAATATTCAATAGTCCAAAAAATTAACTTTTGTAGGAATCACAGTTTAATAAGAATCAAACACAAATGACAGAAAATTCTCTGGTCATTTGTATTTGATACAAGTACATATGCACTAGTGTTGGGGCACTTAATAAAAATAAGCCTTCACATTTTCTTTAGTAATAGCTATTTAAAAGTAGAACAACAGTGTTTTGCTGAATGCTTATGTACCAGGCGGGACTAGAAAGCATTACTGTAAGAAAGCTTTGTGTTAGAAATTTGGAAAGTGAATTAGAAGTAAATTTGAGCTCATAAGGCCTCAGCCTTTGCTGGAAACCAATGCAGGTGTCAGTAATCAAAGAGCAGACGTGAGATGTTGGTCTGTGCAGTCATTATCCCACCTTGGTGTGCTGGCTCCAAGGGGAAAAAAGGAAAACAAAGTCATTCCAAACAATTTGCAAGTATTCCAGTGTCTTGTACCTCATTTTTAACCTAAATCAGAGCTTCAATAGACTACCTAAAAATACTAGACTGGTACAGTCAAAAGGGCAGCATAATTCTAGCTCCCTAATGACCAACTCACTTCTCAACTTGAAATCAGCTCTTAGGAAATTGAGCCCAGGCTTGACAAGTCTCTAAGCAGGTCTCTGAATCCTTAACACCGGACAAGATGCTGCTGCTCACTGACTTTACTACTAACATCTGAAGGCTCCTGAGAAAGTGTGACATTCCCCCAGGGAATTGATGGGATTGCCATGCCCCAATACTCAGAAAGCGTGAAACGTGTGCACTGGTCACCCTCAGCCTCCTTGGTATGAAGCAGCTATTTCCAAAATGCAATTGGCTTCATATAGGCCTCTAAGACTGGTCATGAATCACCTCCTGGGAATTCCCAGGAAACGAGCCATTTCTGAAGCTGCACCTATGGAGGGATCAAAGTGGTGGGATAGTGGGGAAACCCCTTCGGAATGAGGAAGAAGAGATACGCAAACAGTTTTCCTCAGTTTAATATCAGGTGGTGTTATAAACTGCTAAAACCAGACATCTTCACATTATTACACTTGACGCACCATAAAACAGGGCTATGTTACAGTGTAAGATTCAATATCACAAAACTTGCAGAGAAATGCAAACAGAAGTCTTTACTTTCTACCACTTTTATTCACATCCCCAAACACTCTGTGTAAGAACAGCTTTTTTTTTCCTCCATCTTCTACAGTTGCTTTCCAACCATCCAGTTCTAAACAGCGACAGCAACACTGGCAGTGGGAATTCACCCAGAAAGTGCTGCAGCAGCCGGATGCCTAAGATACACACACTTCTTGCTGGATGGCTGGCTGGGGAATTTTACCTTCTTCTGTCTTTTCTTGCCCAGAAACTTGGCACACAGTCTTTCTTTTGAATAACCGTAGACTCAACCGTAACAAGTCACTGTCCATTGCTGCAGGATTGGTGTAAGTTTGTTTCGTTGCACCCTGTTGAAATGAAAAACTAAAATCAGTGGCTTTTAATATGCAGACTGAGACAATAACTTGAAGTAGTCTCAAATTGCTGCAGGATTGGTGTAAGTTTGTTTTGTTGCACCCTGTTGAAATTGAAAAACTAAAATGAGTGGCTCTTAATATGCAGACTGAGACAACAACTTGAAGTAGTCTCAAAAGTTAGAAGTAGAGCTGTACAAATTCACTACAAAAACTTTGAAAATTCATATTTCTATTAGCATATAACATCACAAAACCTACTGCAGTGTGAGAAACATCTAAAATGTTTTTAATTTTAAAAATAATTTTATGTTAGAACTCTCTACTTGGAGGAACAGAATCTTATAAGCCTTACAAAATTCCACAGACTCTTTAGCAGGATAATATTTCAACAGCCATCTTTGGAATTGTATTTTAACCCATTACTTTAATAATATATTCTCTAAATGCAGACAGTATAGTGACAAAAACTTAACTCCACGATAAGAAACAGTACTTATCTCTAGCTACAATCTTAAATTAATCTCTCAGACTAAGTAAAAAATAAAAACCCTATGGCCTCTTTCGATCAATCTCTTCTTACTTAAAGGACTAGATCAGTTCCCAAGCAACAAACTGCTAATACAAAAATCATCTCCCAGAGCAGAATTTATGTTTCCACATTTAAGTCAAGTGCTATAAATGAAGTACTTGCCTTTTCATTCTTCATTAGCTGTTTACGAATTGCAGAATCCCTTCTAAAGCACAGTGCTTTGCAGCAAGGACCCAGGTTGCTCAGAAGACCTGCTCTCTCTTCTCTTCGTATAAGTGCTGCCATATTCAAGGCTCCCAGTTCATGTTCAAAAAGGTTTTCTGCATCTACAAAGAGGTGATATTTGCAAAGATCAACATGTGCATTGTATTTGAAAAATAATAAATCCATAGTTCTATATGTTGCCAAAGTTCAAAACCATCCTACAAGAGATTTAACACTCGACTCAAAGTCTACTTGTACTTCTGCCTTTTAAATGAGGTTGGGAAAAAGAGGATGCTGCAATCTGTGGGAAAAAATGAACAAGTCCCTCATCATCTAAAGGGAAGTTTAGGTTCAGCACTGTAAAGAAATACAGGGATGGCAATTGCAGAAAGCTAAAAACCAGACGACAGCCCCAGAGCAGAGGGGAGGGTATCGCTCATGACTGAAGTGTGTGGAGAGAGGTGTTTCCTTCTAGCATGAGTCAGACAGTGACTGGTGCTGCACTTCTCTGCAAGACGTCAGGAGATCCGTACCCGTGTCAGAGCAGGGTTTACGTGGCTAAACAAACGGGAAACACGACCATGGAAAAGGATTCTGTTACCCATAGTGGGTGAACCTGGAACATAAGCCAATTGATGCTAATGAACTACCTCCTCCTACAGGCCCTTCAAAAGCATTTTTAATAATACATAGAGTGGCAGCACTGGTCTTTTAAATATGTCTATCACAAGAAACAATGTGCAACTGTTAACACTTCACCATGTTGCTTTTCCAGACAGCTCCTGGGAGGAAACTTGTTCTGTGACATCTTTTTTTTTTTCTATGAAACGCAGATATGAACAAGAGCAGCGTTTATGCCTGAACAGCAGCTTACTGATTTAATCACCCTTTCACATGAGGTAGGAACTTAATGAAAGAATTAAAATGTTTTAAAGATATGTAGCAAAGTCTAGTCCAGACATCTTTATGGAGTAAAACGCATGGTGTTAAGCAAAGACTATATATAATGCACAACTGCTGGCATCAGCAAACCCGGGGCAAGCTTAACCTCCAAAAGCAAAGAATGCTTCAGCAGTTTGGCAGAATGGACAAAGAACAGAACAAAGATGCATTTTTATTCTACTCTGTGACCTTCTGATGAAGCTGAACAGAACCAGTTTGGAAACAAGGCGAAAAGGAAAGAAACGTTGCAAGAAACCAAGGGCAGATGAAGAACTCCACTGAAGCCATCAAAACCACCCCAGTGGGCAACCACCAACTCAAGTGACGAGGCTCCACGAGGCTGCTGCAAAGCTCACACTGCTGCTCACATGGTCTGCCCAGGTGCCACACGCTGACTGTACTTGGCAGCATCTGGGGCCCTCAACAGATGCATTTAATAAATGGGGCAAAGCAGCCACAAATCTGATTCCCATCTGATACTACAGATTTCTGTTTCAGAAGAATGCAAATTCAAACAAAAATCCCACAAATAACCTGCCATTTACTTTGTCTGCTCTTCAATGTGCCACCATGAACTGTTCACCCACAAATACCAACAAAAAGAAGAGAAAACTAAACTCAGCATTTCAATCGAAGGAACACAGAAAGCCAAAGAAGTCCGAAGCGCAAACACCACATTCTCACTGCAACACAATATGGACATTTAGTTGAACTTCAATCACATTTTAGGGCACCAAAATTTGTGCCTTAATTGACTACAGATGTCTGAATATACTGCCTGCAGCACTGCCACATGCACTAGCTTTGAGTGAGAGCCTGGGCATATATGGAAGGGAAATCAGCGCAGGCACTTGAATCCTCCCTCCTCTCCAAAGTTTTACTTCTAGAGAAGCATAAAAAGACCATGGGTTATTTCAGGTATCATTTTAAATAGCCAGTAGAATGACTCGGCACTCCTGTTTCTGTTGCAAGGAATCGCTAATATAAAATATTCAAAAATACAGCAAAATCACAGCATTTATAGAGAGAACTAACTCACTTTATTCGTACAAAGGTTTATACCTTTACTGTGCCAGGCACACTGGAGGACACACAACATTGTATCAGTTATACCCGTTACGTAAATTTCCAAGCATAAGAGCTGGAATACTTGTAGACTAAAAGAAAACTAACACTGTATAGAAAAATTTAAGTGCCCCCAACAACACATGCAGTGGGACAACCGCAATGCTAATCTCAGGTACACGTGTCAAGTTATACCACTTTGCTGCATTAAAAATTTTTGCATTTAATTTGGCAAAAATTCCTCAAAAAAAAAGTAAAGTGGAAGCAGTAGCGAGAGTCCATGATTAATAGTTCTACAACTTAAATGGCTCATGCAAACAGTGTCATTCATGGAGATTAATAGGGCTGAGAGAAGCAAATTCACATCTTTTCTTCTCTGTTGATCGAAAGGAACTGCTAGGTTAGCAAGATAACAGCAGGACAATTAATGTTGCAAAAAAATTTAAAAATTCTGTTTCAAATGCAGAACTAAAACTTACAACATCAAAAATCAGGAAAATCTGGTATTCCAGGACCTGGGTTCTACAGCTAATTTTTCTCATATTTGTAACCTGAAATAACTCGTATCAGATCTTATGGAAAGCAAATGCATCACAGTCCTAACAAACAATAAAATCCCTAACAAACAAAATCCCAGGTGCCACAGTAAACAGAATTGATATAAGTCACACCCATTACCATCTATCTTGCCCAAAAACCTCCCTCCACTGCTAAGCTTTTGTATTTTTCTATCTAATTCCCCACTTCTAGTGGAGGCACAGTACACAGGTATCACTAAGCTTCTCCTTCATTCTGACCCAGTATCTCCTATCCACACATTTTGGAGAGGATCTTCAGAAGGGAAACAAGGGAACATGCAGAGATCCTTCACAGAAAAGAAGGACATCTTATTTCTTTTTCATACTCTTGCTGCTGCTTCACTGTTGAAGATCATTAGCTCTCCAGGATGCTGCCAATAGCCTAAGAAAGGCATGAAATCAGGATGGTCTCGTGAAAAGAATATTCAGCTGGAATGAAGCTTTTTTTTTTTTTTCTCCTCAGGAATTTCTCTAGACCTCCTCACTCATTCCTGTAATTAAAACACTAAATTTGATTGACACCCAGCAGTATTACAAACATATAATTCTTCCTCAATGTTCACTAAATACTTTCTATGGCCATACAATTATATTGCAGATCAACGCCCACCTTGAAAATGAAAATAATGAGCTAGCACAAATGTCACAGTCGTCTTTGCTAAGCACAAAAAGACAGTTTAATCCCTGAGAAACAATTACCTTTAGGTTTTTCTAATACCCTCTGGCAAGTCTCTCTAATTTTGGTGAAGAGCTCTGGTCCTGCCAATCGTTTGGAAATGCCGACTCTCAACATAACAGCACCTGGGGTGAATTTTAAGAGTGCAGCCCCAGGCTCCCTTGGTTCTTTTGGCTGCTTTGGCATAAGACTGGACCAATCCACATCTATAACATCTACAGGATCTGTAAAACAACGACAGAAAATTATCATATCATCATCCCCTACACAACTGTTTAATTTCACATACACCCGTGTCTCCTAAAAGCAACACGAATTCGATTAACATTGTTCTGCAGTTCTCAGCAAAGCCTGATCCTTACATGCTTCAGATAAGTATTAAAATTTGATTTGTGGGGAAAAAGAGCATAGAATTCCTCAAAAAAATTAAGGCTTCTTGGATTTTAAAAGAAAATCTAACATTCTGTTTCATTATTACAGCAACCTCTTTCGTCAGAGGCTGCTTTACCCTGTTAGCTTATCCTTCTCGCTATAGGCGAAAGGATTATTGCTCCAAAACACAGTTCCCAGCACTCTAAAGAGTCACTTCTGTGCTTCAGGCTTACCTGGCCATTTACCAGGAACAAGTGAAAAAAACACAGACAAAACTTCATTTTGTATTCAGAAACACTGTCCACACAGCACTGCATCCATACAACTTGAAAAGGATGAAGCAGCCTTACACACAAGCTGATCTACTCTTGATATTCAAATAACCATAAAAAGAGGTTTTGCTATACTTTTACCAGGCATCTTCTCATCCTCCTGTTGATCTTCCCGCTTTTCAGCGTCGCCTGCCAGAATCTCATCCAGTTCATCATCACTGATGGGCTCGTACTCCCCAGCACCTGACCCCAGGGACTGAACATCATCAATCTTTGTTTCATCTTCCCCTCCTACAGAGACACATACATAGTTTAGCTTTAAAGCTGCTACTCTTGTTTTCTAAGCAAGTAAATGGAGTGAAGAGAGAGAGAGATTCAGCAAATTAGTTAGTTAGCTTTTGGGGGCAGGTATATTCAATATGAAAATAAGTACTCATGAAAAAGTAATTTTTTCCATATACCATGTGATTTTTATCATGACAGAAGGCCTCATTCACAAGAAACATTGATGATCTGGCATTTAGAATAAACCTAACAATGTTACAAGGTTTTGCACAGGAATGCAAATTCAGGATCCAGTTCAAAAGCTCTACTAGAGAAAGGAGGAGCAAAACTCCCAAACAATGTAAAGTGCAAGACATCCAGAATGAAGCATTTCATCATACAGTTTTAGACTCTCTGTGCAAGAGTAAAGAAAACTCAAATCCTTCAAGAACTTGAAGGAAGTTGTGTCAAATTTACTCACGCCTACTCATCCACATATTATATACACACAATCATTTACAAATCAGATTGCCATAGAAATGGCAATTGGCTCTGCACACCCTCCTTCCCCTTTCTTTCCCTCAGAAGTTTCGAGTCATCAAGTTTCCTAATTTGTAGGGCTGAGAAATCAGGCAAAGGCTGCTTAAGGAATTATGATTATTTTTCCTTATTTAAAATACATCTTTGGAAGCAAATTTTCACTCATTACCTATCACTTCTAAACTAAGAAACAGACCTAACACAACAAAGCAATTTTAGGTTATTCATTAGCAAACTGACTATTCAGTTTTGCTACCTAGCAAAATTTTACCTCAAATCGTTTTTGCTTATTTGCCTCAAGATTTCTTTAGAAATTAACAATTAACATTGAACAACATTTATACAACTAAGACGATGCTCATCAGCACACTCTCATATCATATCTGCTTCCACAGCAGAAAGGTGCCAAGGCAAATACACATTACAGAGAGTAACCCTTTAGCAGAAAGTTATTCTAATACAGTGCGTTAGCCCCAGTCCAGCAGGGGCTAACAGGAAAAAAAACAGAATATGGGGTGGCCAGCTTCTTTCCCAGAATATCTCACCTTCTAAACTCTCTACTTTTTCAGCCTCGTTTCCATCTTCAAACCCTTGCAAAGGTCCTAAATCTTTGTCTGCTCTTTCCTTCTCTGAAGTGGCAGCATCCCGACAAACGCCGTCAAAGTCCTTTTCGTGATCTCGGTCCAGCTTGGATTCCCCGTGTTTTGCCGATTCCTTTTGCGAGGCAATGTCAAGAGTTCTGTCTCTATCTCTTTCCGCAGTATCAGGAAGTTGCCTGTCTCGTTCTCTGTCCAGCTCCCTCCTTTTCTCCCTCTCTCTCTCTCGTTCCCTGAGTCTCTCTCGTTCCCTGCTCCTCGGCCAGTCTTTGTCAACGTCTCGGTCCCAATCTCTCTGTCTTCCTTCTCTCCTGTCTCTGTCTCGTTCCCGGTCATGTTCATGGCGATCCCGCTCCTGAAGCCTTTCCCTGCTGTCAAAGGACCCAGATCTGGAATGGACCTGACGATCCGATTCGGGAGAACTTCTTCTTGAACTGTGGCTTCTGGAATCTTGACGATCTGAACAAAATATTTTAAAAATACTCATGACTTCAGCATGTGAACGCAACACCGTTTTGCTACACCAAAGCATTTTAAATATTCTGATACCCAAGTGGACTTCTGAAAAGCATTATCTCGATATTAATAATGCCTCAAGATCATCTACAGATTTAACCTTGCTTAAAACATAAGGTATTTTTCCCACTCCCAGTGAATACTTTTCATTAGCTACTTCCTACTGTTCAGAAGTCAAAGTGATCATCATTTACACCAAAGGTAAAAAAAATTAAGAAAAGAAAACAATTTTCAAGTTTACTTTCAAATTATGCTAATACTTTGGCTAAGCAAGTGATAGCTTCAGAAAGATGATTTCAGGAATATACTGTAAACGTAAGCACACCTGCATTTTTCTTTCTTCATTTACTACCAGATTTAAATTGGTTTAGAAGACTGATTTATTTTTTAATGATGTTTACATTTTAAGAAAAATGCTTTAGCTATTTTCTTTACAAGAACTACAGAAATAAAGATAATTTGACTGTGAATATTTTGGCCCAAAAAGATAATTTTCATATGCATTAATAGCCTGCCTAACAAGGACCAGATTTACCTCAGTGAAAATATCTCCCAAGATCATAATGAATCTCTCTCCCACACAGAAGGGCATTTTAATTTTGCATACATTTCAGAATTTCCATATTAAAAAGAATGGTAATAATGAATTTAAAAACATTCTTTATATCACAAAACTGTCTCATGTTCTGTTAGCACACGGCTTTTTTGAGTTTCATTTGCCCTACAAATTACTTAACCCTCCAGACAGCATGAACTGCCAAATCTGACTGAATGTTTTTGTGAAAACAAAATTGTAATCCGTGTCCACAGAGGATCAGCTTTTCAAAGATGGTAACACTTGCAGAAATCTTAATTTACTCTAGTTTTACTACGAGTGGTGGAGTGCCTCTCCTTCTCCCATCACACTAATTACTAAAGAAAAGAGTATAGAGCCACACAAGAACAATTTGGGATTTCCATTTTCATGCAGAACGATAGCTCAGGCTCACTAGATCATATCTTATTACCTGAAGATGTGCTGCGACTGGGTTCCCCTCGTTTCAACTGATCAATTCGGGACTTCCGTTCCCCAGTGATTTCCAAGCTCTTCTTCTCTCTTTCTCTGTCCCGGTCCCTATCCCTGTCTCTAGAGCTGCTGTGAAGGATCCTTTTCCGTGCAGCCTGGTCATCCCCACTGCGATGGGCAGACTCATTGGAAGGGGATCGCAGTCTGCTCGAGGTGTGGCTCCGATTGCTGCCCAGACTGCTGCTGCGCTTCTGATCCACGGGCTTGCGGTGTGGGCCATCTTCTATGGTCACGTGAGGGGCTTCCAACTTCTCGCCCCTTGTCCTATGACTTTTTCTATGGGAGTCCTCCGTGTTCCTTTCTGGAACAACAATGTCACCGCGCTCGGGAACATCTTCATCTGACCAGTCACTAAATGTTGTGTCTTCTCTTTTTGAGGGGACTTCTGCCACAGCTTTCTCAGGCGGTGCTTCAACCAACTCTTCTTTCGTTACAGGAGGTGTTCTTGGACCTTTTTTCTTTTTATGATGTGGAACAACTTCTTCATCAGAAACTTCAGAGTCACCCTTGGACCTCTTCCGCTTTTTCTCTACATTTTTCTTTTTTTGACCTTTCTTGGGTGAAAAGACCTGGTTTTCCTCAGCTATTGACTCATTTGTGTATCGTTCCACTCCACTATCATCATCTTTCTTTTTCTTTGTTGCCTTTTTCTGTACTTTAGACTTCTTCTTGCTGTCATCATGCAGTCTATCAGATGCATCTCTTTCTTCAGAAGGACGGTGTCCAAGGTTTTCTTGGACCCTGGACCTGGAGCCTTCTGTAGCATCTGGTTGTTCCCTTTGCTTATCTGCTGAAGAAACCCTTTCCTTAAACTCTGGTTCTTCATAACGCCGGGAGCTTTCCTTTCTGTCCGATTTCCGCTCCTCTTCTTTCCAGCGACTCTGTCTGTCTTCTGCAACGTGAGAGGGGCTCAGTGACCGGGATTCCTGCGGTCTCACAACCTGGCTCAGAAGTCTGTGCTTTTCATCTACAAAATGGGAAAGAGGATGTACTTGTATTGTTTAGAAAGAAGAACAGGGGAACATTTGGTATCTTGGGCATGCCAAAAAGTGTCAATCAAAACAAATGATCCATTATTTCAGTTACATTTTCTAAGCTTTTATACTGCTACAGAAGCAACAGGTAATTTCCGTTTTGGTAAACGTGTATCTTATCTTAAAAGACAGATACAGAAGCCACTATCACCTGAAAATACTAACATACAGTAGCGAGACAAAGATAGAAAACAAACAGAACATCATACAGAAAAATAGTAGTGCACAGGAAATAAATAAATAAAGGAGAGGAAAACCAAACAGAACATCATACAGAAAAATAGTACTGCACAGGAAATAAAAATAAATAAATAAAAAAGGAGAGGAAAACACTTTAAAAGTTTAACCCGTGTTTTTTCTATTTTAGGTTATGAACTATTTTCCATAGCTAGAGAGTAAGCTAGATCCTGCAGTAAAGAGAACCCAGTCCTACTTACTTTTATCATCTCCACTGTTGTAAGCATCACTATCAGGGGAGTGCTCACGGCGACGCTTGGGTGACTGACGAGGACTTGGACTACTTTCGTTTCTGTCGACGCTTGGGTGACTGACGAGGACTTGGACTACTTTCATTTCTGTGCCGTTTCCTGCGGAACAAACACGTACAGTCAGATTGCCTGAAGATTCATTGGGGGAAAAAAATAAAAAAATAGTATAATTATCAATACAATCCCTGAAATATAAGCCCCTCATACAGATGACAAAACATCTAAGGATGCCAGGAAGTTTTGTAATTTTCTACCTTGTTATTCCAAAACTTCAAGTACAGTCAGTTTTCGCTGTCATAATTACGTGAGATATCTTAAACTAAAACTCAAAAATATAGTTATCTTTTTTCACAAAGGGTAGGTAAGACTACTGAAGTCTTTTTTTCCTTATAGCAATAATTCTGTATTAGATGATTCATAATATTACACAAGTCCCTCACAGAAAAGATACTACTTCCAGACAAAGCAGTCAAAAGCAGGGAAGAAACAAACATCACACCTGGGACACAACTTTAAATCTCCATGAAACACACATTACTAACTTTGTATTACTAAATTTGCAGTAGGAGGCTACCAGTGCAGGCTTGAACAAAGTCCTGAACACTGACCCAGCCAGGTGCTGCCTGACTTGCCTCACTTCAGAAACATCAGCAATCCGCTATGCTATTTCAAAGCATGCCTGTGTTAACGAAGGCCACATGAATACACTCAGAAGGAAAAATGGCATGGCCTGACCCATCTGTTAGCTTCTGAGCAGTCCCACAGCTTTGTGATAATAAAGCATCACACTAACTTGATCAGCACTGTTCAACTTCACTGACTGCAGGACCCTGCTTTTGGGCCAGCAGCAACACACATGCAGGGCAGAGGTGGTTACAGACTGGATATATGCCAAAAAAGGGCAGTGAGTTTCCTGCCCCACGTTCTCCTTCCTCCAAACGTAGTAACTCACTAAAATTGACATAAAAGAGACTGTTGTTATTATTTTGAAGTCACATTTATATCCACTCACTTGGATTTTCTTTCCTCATGGACATCTCTCGTACTTCTTTCTTCTCGGAGATCCTCCCTCTTATCCCTGCGGTCTTCCCTTCCTTTCTCTTTGTCATCCCAGTCTCTCTGACGGTCTCTTTCTTTATCCCTGTCCCGACCCCTCTCCCTTTCTCGTTCCCGTTCTCGATCTCTTTCTCGCTCTCGCTCCCTCTCTCGCTCCTCCCTCTCTCGCTCTCGTTCTTTTTCTCTCTCTCTCTCTCGTTCCCTTTCCCTGTCATGGTCCCTGTCTCTGTCTCGGTCCCGTTCCCTATCCTTGTCCCGCTCTCTCTCCCTCTCTCTTTCCCGAGCACGATCTCGTTCCAACTCTCTTTCCTTCTCCCTTTCTCTTTCCCGATCTCTTTCTCGTTCCCTCTCTCGATCTCTCTCCCGTTCTCGCTCTCTCTCCCTGGCCCTTTCATCTCTTCTGTCGTCAGTCCGATCTACCCTTCGGTCATCCCTCCTTTCATCACGCTCAAGGTCATCACTTCTTCCCTGGTGTCGCACTGGGGAGCTTGCTCTCTGATCTGTGAAGAGAATAGGTTTGGTTGACAACTGTTAAAATATATATATGCTATTCTCACTAATTAAAAACAAGACAAAACCAACTTTTTGACAATCTAGATGATAATATACATAAAAAAACAGGAACTCCCTCCAGAACCCTGAAAATTCTCTTGAGGCAGCAGAGGAAGGAAAAAAGCAGTACTCATTTCGATTTCTTTTTAGTATATAGGGAGCAGGTTTTCCTTATTTTAGCCAAAATTCAGGACAAAAAAAAATGTCTACTGGATTTTTCTGAAATGGTTTTGAAAGATAATTAAATGCTTCACACCGTAGCCATTATACTGTGTTACTGAATGATTCAAAATTTGGTGCAAGAACTTGAAAAAGTTCAGAATGACACTCACTTAAAGATGAAATACGGACATCTAAATGCAAGAAGTTTCACAAACATTGACTACAGATTCCAACAATTTTAGTCCTTGAATTTTCAAATGTTCAAAAGTGCAATAGAGACATGGAGAAAAGAGAATGCTACTGTGATCCCGAAGGATGTGGAAACCAACACAAGTAGGACTGTTCTCAACGGACCTAAGCTAAAACTTGAGTGCATCTTGTTAGTTATAGTACAGATTTTCTTGATTATTCCTATAAATTCTGACTATTTCAGAATATTTCTACTCTGCCATTAATCATATTTGAACAGCATATACAAAAGAGTAAAAAAAGAGATACAGATAGAGGTTAATTATTTTTGGGTCACTTTTCTGTATATTGAGACAATGTCTACCTGGCACAGGCAGGCAGAGCATGAACAGGACCAAGTCAATAAAACATGTATTTCCATCAGTTTAATCAATTTTCAACTCTGAGTAAATTAACAATGACTTAGGGCTCTCCTACTACCAGGTAAAAGTAAACTCGAATGGTATTTCAGGATGTATTTTTTCTTTCTTTTTTAAATATAAGCCATCAGTCCACGCAAATGAACAAGTTTCACATTCTTTTAATGGTGACTATAAGTAAAATACCATTTACTATGATTACTCAATATTAAGTTTTATTTAATGTTCTGTAACTCTTTTTTATTACGCTATTCTGGTGATGAAAATTCTTGGTGACAAAAGCAAATACCTGCAGGTATATTAAACCAGTAAATATAGCAATTCGGCACTTACATAATCAAATTCGTATTTAATTTGAAATACTTTTCCTGTGGGGTAGGAAACAACTAGATAGTTACTTTAGCTGAACAAGGAGAACCAAAATTCACAAGTTTGTATTTAAAAATCACACTGAAAAGATACCATGTATGACAGGAGTATGTATCCACTAAAAACTCTCTTGATTTTTTTCTGAATGAGAAATGACAGCAATCTAACCATGAAAAATTATGTCTTAAATTGTAACTCTGGGAAGGATTTACTATTGTAGGGTGATCTGCATTTTAAAGAAAAAGATCCAAAGCTATCTCCATTCAAGCTCCTTACATATTTATATCCTGCAAGAGAAACACAAACCATCCAGTGATTTCCCTTCTGGAAATTTCTTTGTAGTGACGATCTACATCACTTTTTTTCAGTCTATTTAAAGAATACTTGGATGATCACATATAAAGAGATGTATTTATGTGTAATAATATACATTAAAATACCTCTTTCTCTGTTGTCACGCCTGTCCCGTTCTCCATGCCTTCTTTCAAAGGAGGAATCCCTTGCTTGCTCTCTGCTATCGTAGCGGTCCCGGTCAGGGTAGCTACTCCGTGATTCCCAACTGTCATGGTAGTTTCCACTACTACTGTGCCCATCAACTTGGGATCCTCTAGTCCCACGACTTCCTAATGGAGAGATATCAACACAGGAGATGAGTTTTCATATGCGATAAAATCTACTGATGTTTTATGCCAATTGAAGAAGGCATTTTTTAAGAAAACTTGGAAGTAACTGTGCATGGAATTAAAAGTCACTGTGTAAAATTCAATCAAGAACTCTTAAATTTCACACTTCTTAAGTGGAAAGTTATCACAGAAAAAAAATGTAACAAAAATAAGAAAAATAAGGTGATTCTCTTTCAAAGAGAATCAACAACACTGCTATTCTGAATTCCTACAATTTACATATTAGTTTCAAGCAGCAAATTCAAGAATTTCTAAACCAGCATCACCTCATTAAGACACAGAGGTTTCTTGGCTAGGAATAAAGAAGTCAAGAGCCAGTTCAAATTTGTTCTCAGTGGGACGTAGGCTCACAGACTATATGCAGCAGGAAAACAAATGGAGACCATTTCCCAGTAAAACTATAAGGCATTTTCCTGATGAAAACACCACAATCAATAAGCCTGGGAGCCCCGAATATATTTGTTATAGGTGTTTAAAGTGGTAAGTGAAGCTGTTCATAAAGTTAATCATCAAAAACACTGGTGAGGATTAAACCTGCCCTCCCCACCTTTTTTGGGGGTCAAGAAAGAGGCAAAGAGAGAAGAAAAAAGGAAAAAGAAAAAAGAAAGAGACAAATTTCAGATACCTTCCTGGACATGCAGTTACTTTTGAGAGAAGACAATTAGTGACTACCCAATACCCCCAAGATACACTGTCCCTTGCTAATCTTCAATTACATTTTAGCCTTTTATTTGTTTATTACATTTCACTGCCCCTGGGAAAACCCAAAGTGGTAGAGATAAATTTGTAAGGATTGGGGCTTTTTTGTTATTGCTTTGTTTGTTTGCTTTTAAATGACAAGGTAGAATACCAATGCTATGCCACTTTAATCAATGGAGAAAAGAGAAATGCTATAAATTTTAGTAACTGTTCTGATTAATGAAAATAGAATTGAACACAGATTTAAAACCGAACGTAGCTTTCAAAGCATGAGCTATTTGGCAGCAATTCCATTTCAAACCTCAAACAAGATATTAGGAACGGTGGTGCTCAATCTCCATTAATAAGGACATTCATTTGTTCATTTTTCTAAATCATGTAATACCCTTTTCAGATAATTCTGGACCTCTGCCTCGACTTCTGCCAGTTCGATCACTTCTGCTTTCGTTTCTAGAGTCACTTCTGGAGTCATTTCTTGTGTCAGCACGAGAGCTCTCTTCTCTGCCATGGGATCTTCCGTAGCTGCGCGAGTCTTCCTGATACTGGTCATCCTTTTTGTGGGCATCACGACTCTCTCTGTCCCTGTAGTCATGTGAATCTCGTGTCGAACGCGAGTCTCTCTGATCACGACTGTCTTTGTTATCTCTGCTATAATCCCTCGTATCTCTGGAGTCTCGAGTATCTCTGGATTCCCGTGGCTCCCTCCGATCTCTGTTATCTCTCGTCTCCCTCCGATCTCTCCCATCACGAGATTCTCTGTCATCTCTGTGGTCCCTGGAGGTGCTCTGCTCCTGGTCATAATCACGATCATCTCTTGTTTCTCTTTCTTTCTCCCTTTTCCCTCTAGTCTCTGAAAAATGTTTAAAAGAATGTTGCATACTTAGTCCAATCGAACCAAGTGGAATTTTAAAAAAAACAAAGAACAGCGATATAGTAGAGCTAAAATATACTTCTGATACACATGCAGAAACTTAAAATCACTATGGAAGACAGATTAAATCATGTGCCCACTTAGATATTCAGCAAAAGATTTTTGTGAATTTAGATCTGTGCCTTACAAATATTATTTGTTCAAAAGTGAATATCTGCAATTTTATCTCTGGAGTATTAGAAAGCAAGCACGTTTCAATAATTTAATGGTAAGATTGTGCTTCTTGAAAGAATTCAAATGTCAAATGCTTTGTGATAGAAATGGGTTCTTTCTCTCTTACTACAAAAAATGTGCTGTACCTGCACCATTTGCTTTTAAGACCTCACTGCCCCACTAAAATCTCATTTTTCTAAGATTATTTAGTTACAGTGTTGCTACTAGACAAATGTAATTTTACAGTCAGTCTTAAAAAGCCAACAGACATAATCTTCACAAAGTTTCTGTCAGGAGAACTGGCATGTCCGTTTTTCACAAATTGCTCTACCAACTTGTCAGACTTCTATCAGAGGGAGCACATGCTTACTTTGCATACAGCTCCTTTAATTCTCCATGGAAAAGACCACAGACTGCACTGACCACTGTGTCAGAGAGGAGTGGATTAGCATTTGGGCTTTTTGCAGTAGAGAGCAATGGTTACTTATAAGTGTTGAGCCACGGCTCAGCTGATCCACTAGTTCCTGTCCAGCACCACAAGAAGGCTACGTACCTATTGACACCAGCACTGCATTACAAAAGAAACTCCTAGACTATAGGATCTCTACAACCAGTTGGGGCCTACAAAGCCAGTTCTAGTAGAATCATTCCCTCACATGGTCCCTAGAACAGCACCACCAGCACAAGAATGATAACATTGATGCTTGCCATTATTTTCTTCACCATGTAACCACTGGGACAGCTACAGACAGTCTGAATAGTTAAGACACCACAGTTTGAATATCCAAGTTTCTAAACACAATTTGCAAACCACATGAAATTATTCTGAAGCGTCACTGTCGTTCCTACCATCCCTCCTGTCGTGGCGCCTGTCGTGGGGCTGCGAGGTGCGCTCGTGCCGTCCCTTCTCCCGCCCGGGAGAGCGGTGTCTCGACGGGCTCCGCTTCCTCTGCGGGGAGGAGGAGGAGCGCGGCGGGTAGGGAGAGGCCGAGCGCCTCGCCGGCGGGGACGCTGCCCTTGGGTACGAGGGAGAGGGGCTCCTCTTGCGGTGCGGGGACGGAGAGTGTCTCTGCACGGAGGAGCCCGACTGCGACGAGGAGGAGTGATGTCTGGAGGAGAGGGGAGAATGATGTTGACCTGATGGTGACGCAGACCTGCAAGGAAGAGTTAGGATAGCCACACGTGTGATTACTTTAGCTGACAGATTACATTATCATAACCCATGAAAGAGGAATTAAAATAGCTTATGCCCTTTTTTTTTTTTTTTTTAACTCATGTCTACTGAAAATAAGTGCTATTTCTGCAACATATCACGCTAGTCTTTCCTCATGTATTTCCAAAGCATATTCACCTATTTTATGAAGTATATTTACTGGCAACAGTCTATTTAAGATAATACTTAAGAATCAGTAGTCTAAGAAAAATTTACAGACTCCTGAGTAAGAAAACTGAAAATACTTTATACAGCCACTAGATCTCCATCCTGGGGAAAGGGAGTGAGGATTCATTAAAAACACAATCTTCTCTCCCACACTCCACTTGAGTCATCTTCTTTACCAGAAGCTTCCTTTTGGAATTCATGGTTAAATTAGGCAGATAACACTGTGTAAAAACTAAGTGGAACATTTTTTTCCTTCTTTTCAAGTAAAGAGCTAGACAGCATCCTACTTTTAGTAAGCAGCAGCTTCTTTTGCAATTCTTAATTATTTGTTATTAAAGGTACTGATCTTTAAACAAGGTAAGCCTAGGTCCTGCAAACTCATGTGCCTAGCAGCCTAGCAGTTGAGCAGACAAGAACATTCACAAAATCAAGGAAAAACTTCATCTAAAATAATAACAAAAAAAGCATGCCAAGTATCTCTCATCTTGGAAATCACATAAAAACTTCATCTAAAATAATAACAAAAAAGCATGCCAAGTATCTTGGAAATCGCATAGTTTAATGAGGGGTCAGTTACACATCAGCAAATAGATTTCTTCGTAATGTGTTATTATATGCACAATCCAATGTGGAAGAACAATTGCTAGCCTTCGGTTTTTCTTCCTCCTTAGCAGTATCTGAGCAACTTGCAAGTGACTTCTTGTGAAATGTGTACTACCATAAATCACAACAAAATCCCAATTCCCTTCCTTTATAAAATTCCAGGGACTCCAAAGAAGAAAAGACAGCAGGAGTTGAAATAACATGACATGGACTACGCATTTTTAAAAACTTCTTACTTAAGTAATTTGCCTTCTGTTTTTAAACGTCTATGTACAGTGTTGCTGACTTCAAAGAAATACCCAGACCACAGAGATGAAGCTCTAAGTTTCAGGTGACTCACAAATGAAGGACTACTGTACCACAGGTAGGTTCTTCCCCAAAGCCTCCCATAGTATCTCAGCAGTTGGTAAAGGTATTTTGGCACTGTGCCTGTTGCTGTAAGGGCTGTGCTCTCCATGAGGATCACCCTTGCTTGCAGGCCTGTGATAGATGTGTTCAACATTACTTTTGGTAAATACCATGCTAATGTTGCAGGAAATTCTTCTCTGCAAGATATCTGATGTCACTTGGGCTCTGAACAGAATGAGCTCTGGAAGAATTTGGGCTAGCAAGCTTACAGCACGCTATGCTCTTGGCCTGCAGGACAAGATGCAGAAGGAAGGTCTCCAGACCAGTGCTGCTCAGCAGTGGATCTCATGGTTACAGTAACTTTCTGAAAGATTCAGACTCTGTGCGGACACACAATTCTCTTTACATGAAGAACAGAGATTCTGCCTCCAAAGTACAAATTTCTGGGTACAGAATACTAAGTGAAATCACTGGCAACCTAAGGTAGAAGAAGTCAGGTCTGCAAGGAAATAATTTTTGAATAAAAGACAAGAGGGAGAGAATCTTATATTAATGTCAGCACTTCTTTCTTTCTAGTCCATATACTAACCCAAGAAAACTGCTTCCCCATCTTCAAGTCAGATTTCTCATACAATTTATATTTTTTAAGCAGGTGGGGAGAGGACTGAGAATAAAAGGTGACAAAAGATCACAGACTGAGCATGTCCCATATCAGATTACTAAAGCTCCACCTGAAAACACTTGAAAGGAACAAAAAACAAGAGCACGCACCACAACTTCTATTTGTGACCTGACAGGTACCCTCAGTGTAGGACCTGGCCAAAAACATTCTCTCAGAGCTCAGGTACACGCACCAGCAACAGGCCCACACAAACACTCAAAGCAAGACAGGAGGTTTCCAAATTACAGTTATTAATGGCAACAAAAGCTGTGCAAGTGACCCCCCACCTGCGAGAGGGTGAGAAGCTCTGCTTGTGCGTGGCTGCCTTGGCTGGAGCCCGGGACGCCTGCCTTCGCCTCGCAGCCGGTGGCGAGTACTCCCGGGAAGGAGAGGAATTGCTGCCGGAATGATCGGCGGGGCTCGGGGAGCGCTTCTGCCTGTGCGAGCCCTCCGAAGGATCCCTGCAAACACAACCAGCAGCTTGTTCCACAGGCAGGATACGGATATAATACGGCATGGGTACATCTCTACACAATTACAAACAACTTGTGCTTACAAGACCGTGAACTGCTCCTACAGAATTATTTGTTCCGCCTGTAATGCCACATACGAAATCACCTTATGCTAGCATAACTAAGGAATGCAAAATATACACTAAGCTTCTTCCTGAATGATTTGACTGTGAAATACAGAGCTTGAAGATGGTGAAACAAAATACTCCTCATTTTTTTACCTGATATTTCATGTGGCTATGAACCAGAATCCCCATCTGTATAGAGCTATCTTGCTACCCATTTATGTTCTGTAGTGTCAGAATTTTAAGAAGCCTTAAAAATTGATATATGTTTCAGACACTAGATCCAGTTTCAAAAGACTAAGTTCTGAAATCTCAATTACTTCACTTGCTATGCATCGTGAAGACTTGACATTACTTCTTAATTTTTATTTAAGAAAAAAAGACAGAACCAAAGCACTCTTGCTCCTTTCACCGCCACCTTAAATGTACCTTATTGCTCCTCCATTAATGAGGAGGAAGACATTTGGAGGCCTCAAATTTGGATGCAGCTTAATTACAGCAAGTATGACGGAATCAATGAAGGAAAAAATAACTAATATATATTTAAATAAATGACACTTTCATTTTATCAGTTAAATATACAATTTACTGACTTTCAGCTCTCTGCTTGTTGCTATGCTTGGTACAAAGTACTTATACACCCTATTTTCATGAAACGAACACATGACCTAGAAACACAGTTCCAATTTTTCAACTTAATTGGATAGCTATGCCTTAAAAATAATGGGAAAATAATGGGAATAGCCATATTTGATGCATAAATGCAAAAGTGAAGAACTTCTAAAGTCACAGCAGTGTATTTCAGATTTTTTTTAACCTACTGAACATTAGGGAAAAGATAACTATGCCATCATTAATGTAGAAAATATAATAGTCCTCTCAGACTTCAGAAAAGATGGTAAGGGGAAATCTGAATGGCTGGGGAGCTTCCTGAAAAAAATATACTGACTCTTCCAGAAGAGTAGCTTACAAACCTATTAAATTATGTAATTCAAAACTGCAAACCACTTACAGCTTATCAGTCCATCTAAATAACGCATTTATAATATTCAACAAATACTACAGAGTGCTGCCAGGTATAAATTCCTTAGTAATTAGCAATATAAAAGTAAAAGCTTAAAAACAAGGTTGCATTAAGAATCTAGTAATACAATAGAACTTGCCTCTGCTTCTCTTTTTTCTCCTTGTGTCTCTCAAAGTCGCGCCCTCTCTCTTTCACCTCCCTCGTTTTTTCTTCTGAACGTTCTTTTGCTTTATGTTTCTCCTTGTGCTTTTTTCCTAGGGGAGTTTCCTCTTGTACTGGAGGAGGAGGACTAGGGGTACGAGGACCTTTCTTTTTACTCTGGTTACTTTTAGAACTCCTAGAAGTAAATTAACAGGAAAAAGAAATTGAAGGACTGCCAACTACTTCAAATAATGATTTCTCTGATGTTAGCAGCATAAGTTGTAATGCAAAAGTGTCTTAAAGCTTTTAAGGGCAGGATTCACCACTCCACACTACAGTCAAGTGTAGTTATGGAGCACTTTGCTAGGGAAGACAGATAGTAAAAATTCACATTCACTCTTAAACTTAAAACCTTTATTTCTGAAGCAGATGAACAAAAAGAAGAGCTGCTCCCACTCAGGTAGCACTAGTTTCCAAAGCTAAAATGTCCTGGCAAGAAGTGCACATACCAAAAGATTGTAGAATACAGTGCCTGTATAAACTCCCAGTTCTGGAAATCAATACACCCATCACACCCAATGATTTCAACAACTCATACCTCGGATTTAAAGTTAACTACCTGACAGAGGATAAAAGTATACTAGCACTTCTGATTTTGCATCTCACTTCAGATCAAAATAAATATTTACATCATCATGCTTTCTTTCCACACAAATGATCAATGCCCAAGCCTACAAACTAGATGCTATCATACTCTAAGTATCAGTGGCACAATACTCCATCCTCTCTATTCTTGTAGCAAAAACACCATTGCTTTATCTCTACTTTAGAAGAGCTGTTGATTTACTTTGCTTAGCAAACGTACATGCCTATGCTTGTGTCAGTACAGTAATTTATCTCCGACAGTAGCAAGCGCTGATTCAAAAAGGTCTGCAGCAGGCAAGAGCTTAAAACCAGTTTTAGGAAACTGATCTTTTGTAGTAAGGCACCCAGTGGGACTTTGCTGGGATTTTCATGTACCTTGTACCTATGTTTTCTCTCTCTCGCCCTTCCCCTTGCTCCTGCAAACTCCAAGCCACTCTTTGTCTTGAAAGGCGAAATTTGCAATTAGTCAAATTAAAAATTACTTCCTTTCAGACCAGATAAGCTATCTGACAGGCTCTAGGGGAGAAAACTGACCTCCCCTCTTCTAACAGTATTAATATTTTCTCATCATCTCTCAAAGACTCTAGGATACTCAAAGGCAAAAAGCCCACTCTAAACCTTGAAATTAGCCAACTAACCACAAGCATATACTAATTTTCTGCAGCGGATCATCCACAGCCTTGCAATAGTGCACCATTTAGAGACCTTCCTCTGAAGTTATAAAATCAATAGGTCTGGGAGTAAAATGAAATGTAATATAATATTACATCAATACATTAATCTTCTCCCACTCTTCTCCAAGATGCATCTCCATACTGACCTTTGTTGATCCAAAAGTGGTGAAGATACAGCAGATGCTTTCTTCTCTTTCTTACTAGCTGAGGAGGAAGATTTGGGACTGGATCTTCGTTTTGGAGATTTGCTAGACTTTCTCGGTGATGGAGACGGTGATAGTTTAGATCTAACCACCTCTGGAGAAATCTTAAAGAAAGGAATATTATAAATGGTAATATTTGATGCCCAAAAGCTTCACTGTATGAACACACATGTCAAATGCCTACACACAGTAACAGTCTGGATCTTGGATATTAAATAATTACAATTCTACCTCAAGTACACCAAGCACAATTTTCGAAACAGTTTATTAGCTTACTAAAACACCGTAAAATGAAGAAGACCCAAGGAAAGAGGGAGGTGCAAAGAGAAGATGACACACACTAACATATTGCAAAAACAGTAACAGAGCAGTGCTTAAAGACATTATATTAAAAATTAGTAACATCCCAGATAGCATTCCAGTTTGTCTGAAAAATTAAACTCCAGACAAGTTCTAGCCCTTTAACATTTCCTCTGCTCTCATCCACATTCCCAGACAAAATACACCAGTAATGCAAGCAGGAAAGGGGACAAAGCCATGGACTATAGAGGCCCTTATAGCCCACACAATCCGCTGCAAGGCATATGGAACACAAGTTTTACACTTCCTCTGCAAAAGTTTTATTGCAACCAGTTGGAATCTATAATTATATGCACCTTGTAACTCCTTTTCTACTGCTTCCTGCAATAAAGGTTTCCCAAAGGAAATAAATACTAGTTAGAATATGGCCCTGTTAAAATTTAGTTGGACAGACCACAAAACACAAGCGTTGTGGGTTTAGCTCCTGTATAATCACATGCCAAGTTTATTTTTATAGTTACATCACTTTTTCACAAAACCAGAAATCTTAGATCAAGGCACATGAAAATATTAAGGTACCAGACATACTGGGTATCCAAAGACAACAGTTAATCCTCTGAAAAATGAGATGGGCTTTATTTCAAACTTTTTTTTTTTTTAATTGTCCTCTAAATCGTATGTCTTCTAACACTTTGGGAACAGCTCTGCCTGCTACTCTACTCTGTTACTACACAAAATGTTGCATATAGAGCACCTCAAAAGTTATGCCTTGTGTTTTCCTACATACCTCATCTCTGTAAAAAGTCTTATTAGTTCTCATCATTAAAAAGCATACCTGAGTTACTGAACAAATTTTGTATCCATTTAATAACTGACTCCACAACAGGGAGAATTTGGTTATGGTACTGGAAAATTGACTACAGACTGGCAGCTAAAATCCAAGTCACATATGGAATCACACGCATGCCAGTTATTTACTACTTTGTAACAGAACAGTACATTTATAACCCAGAAAGCTCAAATTGCCCAGGGAACAATTAGAAGGCTATGAAGGGATTATCTTTTTTTTAGTGTAGACATTTGCATAATACAAACCTCTTTTTTAATTACTATTTCCTCTCGTTTCTCCATGTTTTCCTGCTCCAACTTCATGAGTTCTCTCTGAATCTTTTGGCGCTTCATTTCCAAAGACAGCTCATGGTCATAGTCATAATTAACATCTCCATTATCAGAGTCTTTATTAAAAAGAAGTAGATAAATTAGTACACAGATTACATATGAAATTAGCAATACTTAGCATAATGGATGCGCAGCATGAATATTTCTGCAACTTTCAAAAACTGCATATGTGGATTATTGATGCTAAGTCAAAATGTCTTCTCCAACTATACTCTGTAAACTTGGAATAACTCCAATTAGGTCCAAGCAACCTACGATTAAAATACTTAAAATATATTGATTTTTTAATGCATTTCAGAGAATTGCACGAATTATTACATCAAGGAAGAAACGGAAAATAAAATCAGTATTCCTAGTTTACTACAAATCAGTTATTTACACTTATGCAACAATCAGTATTCCTAGTTTACTACAAATCTCACACTTATGCAATAACAAATTCGAAAAAGACTGCTATCATAAAGCCCCCAAAATATGCACAGCACTTAAATGAGAAATTTCACGTGAAACAGACTGATATAGCGATACATGATACAAAAATTGTTTAATCAAATATCCCATAAAGTAATAGACACTTTAAATCTACAAATTGATTTTAAAGTAATTTAAGAGACATCTGCATGAGCTCTTTCACTGGAAGAAAAATACACTTTCATAGCTTATTTCCATTTTAAAAGTTTATTAAGACTTGATTTTAAGATTGGTATAGGTGTCATCTCTCCCAGTTTTTCTTGTAAGTCATGGCTAGTCAATATCTCACTCTTCATATAACTGAAGTCACCTTTAAAAAGAAGGCAGTTTTACACATCCTGTTTATATTTGTTTAGTTATTTAAATTTGATGCTCAGAAAGAAGTTGGAGAAAATGATTGTCAAAGAAAAAAAGATGGCCTCATTAAGCTTTCTTTAGTTTTAATAAAGCTTTTGCAATTACTATGCACAATACATAAATCCCTTTTATATGTCAGAAATGCTTGGGAGCTGCTTATAGATAAGTTCTTATCTACTAAGACTTATACATAAGTCCTAACAGGATATTCTTTCAGAGCCCATCTCTCCATCTATATAACACCTGCTGCAAGTGAACAGGCAGTAATTCTACTTCCTCCATGTCAAAGGTTGTAACTATTATGAACACCAATTTGGAGGAGAAAAAAAACATAATTCTTAAGCTGAAAGGCTCAACGTCTAAGGTTTAAGATTGTCCAAGTACATATTTATGCAATTAAAGATTTACATCGTAAACCTTTCAGATGTTTGACTATCTGCATACACACACGCCACAGGACAGAGTGTATTAAATCACCTAGAAAGCTGAAGTGTAGGAAGGACTGAGTGCTTTTCTAAAAGTTAGAAAACCTCAGGGAACAGAACACTTCTTTTGGTTTTCATGAGAGTGACAGGAATAGCAGTAGAAGAAAATGTCCAAAAACACCTCCGAAGTACAAAGAATGTGGTTGCTATTGTTTTAATGGCTTCTAAAAACACTTATAAGATATTATAGAAATGTTACCTATTCCACGAAATTTTTGATGAAGCCTCATTTCACAAATAGATTATTTATATCTAAATCAACACAAGAAATTTCAGTGGCCTTTGTTTATTTAAGTCTGACACATGGACTATTGAACCTCTATTTTCCACATTTATTAAATCTTCATTTCTTACATTATAGTCAACTACCAGACAAACAAACAAGCAACAAGCAACTGTATCACATTTATGTGTTTAGGCAAAACTGACTTCAGGTTATCATAAAAGATAAGCTGCAACATAATGCTGAAGATCTCTCTAATTTGAAATAAATTCTTACCACAGTCCTGCATAAAATTTTAGGCATTTTAAAGTCCCTTCCATTATCTTCCAATATACAACAGCTGCTTCCTTCTCCTAAATGCCTAATACAAACCCCTTTGTTTAGGGAGGCATTGTGGTTGTCCACATTTTGTTTCCACCCTGCAGAACTTCCAATTCAACATAAACATAGGCAAGTGCTAAGCATACAGAATCATTTGTGCATTTTGATAGATTAAGAGTCATAAGAAGCTTTGTACAATGTAGGTATGTGTTTTATATGATTAGTTTTATCTAGTCTTTTGTCTTACACCAGAGTTGTGAATTCTGGAAAAAGAAGTGTTGATTTGGCTACAGTTTTTGGTAGAAAGAATCCTCAAAGGTGGATCACGACACCTATGTTTTCTTTCAATATTGTAACTAGTTCTGAAACAGTGATAGGTACAAAACTAGGTAAACACCAAACTTCATCAGAAACTGTCATAATTTCACTGTCAGGTTAAACTGGTCTCTAACAAAAGAGAAATTGAAAAATTCAGAGAGGACATTTTTTCTCCTCAACCATCTGCACAGTAAAAGGATGAGTTATCAACACCATGGTCACTGAAATCATCTTTTAACCACAAAAAAAAAGAAAAAAAAGAAAGAAGAAAAAAAAAGACAACAGCAGTAACGCAGTAATTCATTTAATCGAAAGATGAATAGCTCGCCAACTCTACCTTCAGCTGTTACACTCATTCTAGGCAAATTTGCCTCAATGAGACAGTCTACACCAATACAAATTGTTGAAAAAAATATCCTGCTGCCTTTAGGCTTTGAGTTATATGCTATCTTCTCAATCTGATCACTTTGAAAAAAATACCTTCGGATGTCAAATGGATTCAACTACTGAGCTCGATGTGAAGGGTTCAGCCACAGAGGACCCAAGTAACTTGTCCAAAAGTCAAAAAAGTGTTCATTTTCTACAGAAGTTGTTTTTCTATTTTAGCAGTTTAAGTCAGACTGCTTCTCTGACAGTCTCCAAAAATAGATGTTAAAGGTCACCCCATAGAAGTACTTTGCTTGGAGATTGAATCTTCAACCATTCTGTGTTACTGACAGTCCTATAATTCTGTAATATTTGATCTGTAGGGGGGACCACTAGTTTAACTGCACTTACCTTCTCTATTTGCTTCCCAATCCCCATTTTCCTCTTCACTTTCTGGTGTCCTTTCTTTTGTAATTTTGATATCTTCCTTTTCTCTATGTCTTCCTCGTGAAGACTCTTTCTATAAAGGGAAAAATGCTGAATTAAACAAGTTTTTTTAAAAAAAGAAACCTGAAGAAGCAGGTACATTTTACACGGATTTTTTTTTTTTTGCCTTTTTTTTTAATAGTAAAAATATCTTTTCCCCTTTAGTCTATTGAACAAATTCCTTCCTAAACGTGCAGAGACTGCACAGGCAAAATATTCTACTGCAATTTCATATAACCTGTATGCAAGTAGCAGATGAGGAGAAGGAAGAAGAAGGGATCCATAAAATAGAAGGCTTAAAGGCAGGATGAGAATCAAGAATATATCAGAGACCTAGGTTTAAAATGGGAACTGAAAGAACAAATCACTTTCATAAGACCAAGAGTTTAATGAGCATTTAAACAGTATATTTAACAGCTCGAGTAAGAGCTCTCAGCTGTGAATATTGGTATTCAAGGCAGATGAGTCTGCTTAACTCTACAGAGGATAAGAAGGTAGGAAAGAGGGGAAAAAAAATAATGGAGAACCTCAGCTGGCAGGAGGAGTGAAAAATAATAAAGATAACACACACAGATCAAGTTTTGACAATATTTTTATCTCTGAACTTTCACTGGCTCACAGTTATTAATCAAGTCTAACTATTGCAGTAGCATATTTGCACTCGCAGATGGTCCTGCAGATACCAAAGCCCACTCTTATAAGAAACAAGAGCATTTCAAAAGACAACTGTACCGAGCTCTCTTTTTCTCCTCCTACTAAATGCCAGTAGGATCACTGCCTCTGCTCAGTCAATAATCCTTCTAGACAACCTACTTGGATGGAGTAGAACAAAGGCCAAAGTGTTTTCACTAGTCCCCCCCCCCAAAAAAAAAGTACATCCAAACCTAGAAGTATCTCAGGTTAATTTATTACGTAGGAAACCAGAAAGAGCATAATGAAAGCCTGACACATTACGAAAGAGCTTTGACTCCTCACCTCCCCTTATTCTGTCTTTTGGGGATTCTTCAGTTTTGATACGTGGGACCCCTTGTTTCTATGCCAAGAAAAGGACATTCCAGAGAATTTCACTAGCTATTCCTCATTAGGAATAAGATCTTTGCTTGATTCAATCCTAAGAGTCATCTTAGAAATATAGTACAGAAATAATAAAACATTATGGACAGTCACTCAAAAGTGAGCAAAACTTTTCCTTTTTATTATATTAATAACTTATTGCTAGTTCAATTAATTCACAATGACATAACAAGCATTGCTTATATTTTACCTAGTCAACTGAAACAAATATTACAATGTACAAGTATCTTCAAGCCTCATATGATGCATTAAGCACATCATATTTGAAGTCTTAAAAGGTTTGGAAAAAACAACAACAAAGGAACTTTATATGTTAAAGAACTAATTCAGGTCAAGTTTAACTAAACACAGCTTGTAGAGTAGGAAGGAAAAGAAAGTTAGTTCTTTTTCAAGACAGGATCTCTCAAGCGACGCACAAGATGCTAACCTGACCAGTCACATTAGTTTCTCTGACATGATCTACAGCCAAACTACACCAGGGAAGCCATAATCACAACACGCACAAAAGGCCCTTGGGTCTAAGACCAAGAGCTGTACTAAGCTCCGAAGTTACTTGAAGAGAACATGGCACTGATGAGATTTGAAAATTTCTGACTTCACCAACCAGCCTCGCTTGCAGCCATTTTTTCATAGAATTTTCTGGGCTGCCTTTTCTGCTGACTGCAACTGTTCTGTTAAACCATTTACTTCTACTGCATAGCCCAACTAACTCCTCCTATATAAGCAAATAAAATTTCTTCAGTACTAATATTAATACTAGTTCCTATTAACCCAACACTATTTTTTACTAGCAAACTGAAACACGCACGTTAAGACATCCTTTATGTGCAGCTTTTAGAAACAACACTTCTCAAGGACAATTTATAAAATAACTTGTCAATACAGCAGGTACAGCTTAGACAGAAAGCTTCAAGTCCAATGCAATTTATTAAGTAGTCCATGTTAAATTTCATACACAAGCTGAATATCATCTTGCCTACATCTCCAAACTCACAACCAAACATAAGGATCTTGAAACACTGGCCTGTGTTTTCTCCTTTCGGTGGAGAGATTCAGTAGTGGCAGTAGCAGGACAACCACACTTCTACAGAAGAACTGAGAACAAAATGTCTATGAAAGGAGTTTTATTGTAATTATTGAATATATATGTGAAGTGAGTAGACAATTTTTATGCCAGCAAGTCACAATAATTTGATCAATAATTTGACCAATCCCATTATAGACTAAACACCTTCAGTCTAGTTGTCATGAGAAAAGAACCCGGTGGTATCATAGCATCTTGAAAAAGAAGTCATAATTTGGACTTTCTCAAGTGTATTTTCCTGTGGCACACAAATCACGAATTTAAGTTATGGTATCTCAGAAGATATACTCGAAATTTCTTACAGAAAGGTCTTCATCATATTCCTTTTGCTGCATGCGTTTCACTCACAGTCTGTCCCCTCATACTATGTGCTATTCTGGTTAATGAGCAAATATTTAATTCGTACCCTTACCAATCAGCTTGTGCATTACAAGTGTTGTCTGTCCCTCGCCCCTCCTGAGCCAAAACCAAAAAAGGTCAAATCTCTAAGGGCCAAGAGCAGTGTTTGAAGGTAGCGTTTGCACTTCAGATATACCTGTAAACTATTCATCCACATACTCTGGAGAACACCATCTACTAGAAGGCAAACAATAAGCTTTCATAATAATCTAATTATTTACTTCAAAAAAAAAAAAAAAGTTACACTGCCCAAAGTGCAGACAATAATTCAGCAGACTGTTTAGGCTGATTTCAAGTATATGCTCAATAATACTATAGATTGTTGCATAAATTACTGCCTTTAATGATGAATTTCACGAGAAACAATATGTGAGGGGAAAAAATAGGCATTTCTGAATCCTGTGATTTTATTACATTGAATGTCTCACGTTGAAGATCCACACCTCCTAAGATGTGATCAGCACCCACAGCGCAAGGTTTAATGACTACTTGAATAAATTTCCCATTAAAGCCAGAAGAGTTTAGCCGAGTAACAAAGGATTCATGCAGTCTGCAAAAGGTGATTCTAGTCAAGCTTTATCTTGCCACTACCGTGGACAAAATATTCCTAACACTCCTATACCGCACGGTTTTACAAGACAGAAGCTTCCACTTCAGCCTTGTCGGCACATGCACATGCAGCACAGGATGAGGTAATTTAAAAGCACAAATTCATTTAAATCTAGAACAAGCAAGTAGGAACTGTAGATAGAATCTTTGGTGTAAGAACACTATTATTTTGATCCACATATAATATCCTTATAGGGTAAACGCCTGCCATACAATAAAAATATCTAAGAAAATGAATCTGAAACTTCCCTGAAATGAGCAAATATTGGTTCCTTTCCAGAGATGGAAGACGATGTCGACTTCCATTTCCAGACAGACATTCAAAAGCTACCATGACAAAAAGCAGAGAGATAGGCAACACACAAGCAATTTTTTTCTTACAGTCACCTTTCACCTCAAGGTAAATTAAGTTCTTCCCACTGTTTCTCCCCACAAATCTCACAGAAATTGTTTTAGACAATACTTTGTATATCTCCAAATTAACTGCCCTCTCCAAATACAGAGAAATTTCAATATGACAATTTTCAACTAGATATAATAAAAGAACCTTATCGAACTACTTGTGGCACATTCAATATACTAGCATACAGCACTAAAATAACTCCAAACAGAAATCTAAAAGCATCGAAGCAACAGAGTTCAGTGTCACTGTCCATGCAATGCAACATATTGTCTCTGGAAATCACAGTGCAAGATACGAGGAAATAATAAGGGATACTCTATAATAAGCTGTCCACATAGGAACTTTCTTCCCAAAGATGGATGGATTTTACTCTCTCTCGAGTAAAATCTTCTTTACCAGAACTCTCTCTTCTAAAAATATTTTATACTAGTTAAACTGCCTCTGCTTTTTGTGAAAGCTCCTCAGGTCTTTGACTGTATCTTGTAGCAATCAGCAGAATTATTATCTATACGGTAAATAGTATTTCCCTTTGCCATCTTCCAATTTGCCCCTGTTTTGTTTCTACTGGGACAAAGTACAAATAAGACGCATCTAATTTACATTCTCTCAACCATACATCATATGCATTCACATCTCCTTTCTCCTCCTCTCATGGCTCATTCCCACCTCCTTGGCCACTTTCAAAAGGATCTTCTTTGACTACATTTCCTTACATATGGGTGATCATAACCAAACAGCATTCAAATAAAAGTGGATCATGAATTTGTACAGCACAATATCGATAATTTTCTATTCCATTTTTACATATGTATTTGATACTGCAACTTCAAGCAGAAGTTTTCATTGAGCTGTCCACAATACTTTTTTTCTCCCGAGTAGTTTCATTTACTTTTAAATATTTTACTCAACAGTTTTTGGTTTTAATTAATTTTTTCATTGTGCATTACACCTTGCATTTGCCCAAACCAATGGCACACGAAACTTGTACTCCTCAAAACTATCTCCTCCCCAAGTCCTATGGCATTCCTCACATTTTATTAAACTCAACTAATATTTTCTATCTTCAGTAAAGTCTGCCACCTGCCACGTTTTTCCCCCATTCTTAAAAAAATAGCTATTTAGATGAAGCTCTGTAACTTCATGAAGTTGAAGCTATTCTAACATTTTCCTTTTAACTGGCCTCTAAACCCACTAAGATTACACCTGTTATTTTCCGAGTGCTTACAGTCCCCCCAAAAGCTCTGTTTTTCCCAAAGAAGCTACTTAGGATTTCATCTGTTTCAAATAGTTCTTTTCCAGCCAGTACTCTGTTTCAGTTTTAATTCATGAGATTGGTGAAGCACAAGTTTTGTGGGGGGAGCAGTGCTCTCTCCCCTTCTTTTTTGGCTTTTTTGTTTTTGTTTTCTCTCTTCTTCTTTAAAGCCACAGTTACAAAACTTTTTATGGAACAAGCTACTCATTATTTCAAACAAAATTAAGATTTCTTATGCAGTTCCTCAGTTATCCCAGAAGTTTTAAGAGATGAAACTGTCAAGCATTAGGTCTCCATCACAGTAACAGCTTCAATGATGGAGCAAGAGTTTTGCTAGCAGTTCAGCCACTTCAGTCTTCTGTCCTTTTAGCACTCCTGGTCCTTTGCAAAACAACTGTTGACGGCTGTCCCTCTTCCTCTACTTGTTCCAGAATCTTTTCTTTGGATATCCCAGCTTTTCACAGTTGCCTCCATGCAATCAACAGGAAAGCTCAGTGATTTCCTGAAACTTTTATGAGATGTATTGCAGAGAGAAGGTTCCTCTGCATCAACTTATCCTGTAAATAAGTCTCTAGTACTTTCACAGACCCACTAATTCTCCAGTTCCTTTTGATCCTTCCAATTCACCTCATTTGGAGGGTTGTTTTTTTTAAGAGTATTTTATTGTTGCTTTAGTAGACCACTACAAAAAAGAGTGGAAGTCAAAAGTAAAAATGACATCCAAATTAAGGTTGTATCCAGGGGAAAAAAAAAAAATATAGTAAATTGCTGATGATGGTTGGAAAAAAAACACTTTTCCCACCATTCATGTTCTCAATAACTAAACAATTTGATCAATCTATTAGAAAATAAAAGAAACACTTAAGTAAAAAAAAAATAGAGACTGAAACTTTACGCAAATTAACAGCAACTGAAAACATGATTGGAAGGTAAGTCATTTTGTTAATTTAATGATAACAGCTGCTGTTGATTTCTGTACACCTGACAGAATCCATTTTACATACCAAGTAGAAACAGACCCAGGGAAAAAAAAGAGAATGCCGTTAATATCTGCAGAAATACAATCAAACTTTCACAAAGAATTTTTAACTGTTGTTTTTATGATGACAGTCTTAAAAAAAAAATAAAAAGACACGATGAAAAATATGAGGAACATGGTCATGCTATTGTTACATAGGTGCAGTGCACACTACCAGCTCTGCCCCTTCGTAACATCAGTGCAGGAACAGATAACACAATAGATAACACAGGTTTTTAAAAAAGTAGCTTCTTATATTTGAGAGGGGTAGGGCTGCAGAAAGATGCTTAGAAAGTGAGAATGATAATGAATCAATTGGTTGCAAAATCCTAAAGTGAACATTTGAGATGGCCAATGAGTATGTAGGGGAAGGGGGAAATGAACCAGCACAACGGCGTGGTCTCCTCAAAAGGGATTCGGGACAAACAAAATGCAACTGGTGTCAGGATGCAGGTAAATGATGGATACGAAGGGACATGGGTGAAAAAAAGAAAAAAAAAAAAAAGGGGGAATGATTGGATTTTTTTTTTTGATAGTATCATAAAGTTGCACTGTTATTAAATGCCTATGTATCAGTATTCATAGCATTATTCAGTCTGTGGAATTCATAAAAATCTTTGAAACCAGATCGGAAAGTAATAGAAAATCGCAGAATAATTGAAATAACACATCTGTTAAGACAATTTGTAACAAAATATGCCACATACTATGTACAAAAAAGACCAAATTTATATAACATTTTAAACGTTACAAGTCACCACGATCAAGTTTCTAGGACACACAGCCCAAATGCTACTGAGTGATTCTGGAGTTTTGCAGACTCCATTCTTACCCTAACAGGAGAGGAGGATTCCTCTGTATTTCGTTTCTGTGGCTCAGCCTCAACGTCCTGACGTTTGTTCTTCATTCTTTCTCGAAGATCCCCTGTTGGCCTTTCTGGCGACCTGCATAACACAGAAACATAATATAACCAGTTCTATGGAATTATTTCTAAATCAACTTCTAAATCTTTTAACTCTTTTTGTTATTGGTATATACAGAAAGATCTAAACCTCCCACCCACAAAGTGATGACGATGAAGAAAAATACTGAATTCCAACAAGTTCAAGCATTCTATTAAGAAACCCCTTTGAGACCACCAAGAAAGATTTGACTCTAGGAAGAAAAATACATTATGGCTCAGTTACCATTCCTGATCAATTCAGGTTATGCTAGCCTTTTTCTATCATGCAAATCCACGTTACAATTAGTCTTTAGGTATCTTTAGGTATCTTTAGCCTTTTCTGCATTTTAAACTGCACTGCTTTTGTGTGTGTCTGCATGCGTGTGTATGCATATACACCCACACACTTATTTACATACATAAAAATTAAAACAGAGCCAAACCACTGCAGACTGGCCAAAACGGCCCCACAGAAGCTCAACTCCAAATATGGATGAAGTCCATCAGCTGAGATCACCTGACCTAGCTGCTCTTCTCCTGTGACCTCAAGGTGACAATGGCAAAGAAAAGAATGTTGTGGAACATCAGAAATTTTCTTTTGGAGATCTTGCTTATTTTGTATTTTGTAATAGTATTATTATTATTATTTTTAATAATAGAATAACTCTACTACTTCCACAACTTCATAGTGCATCTTCTACAACAGCTACTACTGAGGTGCAAAGGGTGAGGGTGCATACACTGCTACAAGATATCTAAATATTTCATTCCCTGAATCACAGATCAACAAATTCTTCTATCCCTTAGGGGTTAAAAGAGAACAACAATTGGATTTAGACAAATTCATAATCAAAGGGGATGTAGGGGATGCTGCAAATGACCTTTTGGTTCAAGCAAGCAATTTATTCTTCATATAAATCTAGGTAGATATTGAGTTTGTTGCTTCTGTGATAGCTGTTAGCCATAATTACAGATTCTTATGTGAGATGGTTCTATGAAGGTACAGGACCAGTACAAATTAATTTCCTTTAACAAATCATAAAGAGATGCCAATATTTCCCTAGTGAATAAATAACGACATTCACATTTGCCTCATTTTCCAAACTAAATTAACGTTTCCATTTAGAAACTGCTGCCTTCCCCACTCCCCATTCCCCTGGGGCAAAATCCATAATGAGTCAACTTTTGTTCACAAATTTTGCATAAAAATATTTGGTTTTATAACATGATTGCACTGCACACACTGGATGCACAGTAACTTGTTTTGACTTCTTTTTTTTTTGAATGTTTTCTATATTAAATGCTTTAAATAGCATCACAATGTTAAATATGATAGGACCCAAGAAGAAAAAGTCCAGTGACTGCTGGTATTTTTAAAAACATTTAATTCTTCATGAAATTCTAGATCAAAGGAGAGGAACAACACAGTAGCATGCTGTTTCTTTTGGCAGTAATACTGATCAAATAATATCCAGCACACAAATATAAGCAAGGTATATTTTCCTTCCATTCACGACTATCATTTTTAAAGTATCGAGCTTTAGCAAAGGTATGATTCAAAGTATTTTATTAAGTCTAGAAACATAATTCCTTTGCATTATAAAAAACTAACTCCCTGAAGATTCACATACCATGAGCAACCTCAACAAAATGCCTGCCAACATCAAAGTGGCAATTCAATGCCTTCTGGTCAGTTAATTACTAATACTCTAGCTATGGCACAAAGGATCTGGGTTTGTGAAACAAAATTAATCTAAAAAGCAAAGAAATTGTAGATAATGTATTAGTGACACTCTTCCTCGAAAACAGTAATTCCCAGGGAGGAGGGAGAGGAGAGGAAGAGATGAAAGAGAAAAGCAAGAGGACTTGCACAGAAGGTAGGTTATGAACTTGCTAGGGAGAGAAGATACTGTGGTACTATTAACAGAGAGAGAGAGAGAGAGAGAGAGAGAGAGAGAGAACACCACATGCACACACATCCAACAATTTCACTCTTCACTAACACCTCTTCCAGTGTGGAAGGGAAGAAAATGCTTAGTTTATTATAGCATTATTGAAGTCTACTTTAAGATCATTAACGTCATCAATCACAATAATAAAATAAATAAAAATAATAAAAAACACTGGAAGTTGTTGTTTTTCATAGTGCTGTGAAATAACACTGGAGCAAAATTAAAGTAATGGAAACAAAGCAAAAAGCACAAAACTAGTCAAAACTAGACTGAAGTTTTGTCAAAAATTTAAGATAACATTACTCAGAAAGCCATGACTTTTCAGATATTCTGGCTTAATGCACAGAAATTAAGCTGGCTTATTAACAGATTTTTTACAATTTTAACTTTACTGTTTGAAATGATATGGCTAGACTGCAAATGGTAGAACCGTTCATAAAAAGGGCTCCACATATGATGCTATACATTGAAAGAGCAAAGCTACTAATGAAAAATTTATCTTCAATTACCATTTTGTGTGAAATGCTCATACATCAATAAAACCAAAAATGACAATGCAGAATTTTACCATTTCAAACTCTAAGTAGTGGGGTTAAGCAATTATCAACTGTTCAATTGCAACAGTTCAACAAGCTGTCTATGGAGAACTGGAGTACGTCATAACAGTGCCTCCTCATTCCTTATTTCCTTACCTACCTCAAAACATCAGGAACTGTTCCCTAGCAAAGGAAATGCACTGATTTATTTATTTGAGCATATTTAATTTTGTGAGTCTGTGTGTGCACCTGCGTGTGTATTCATATAGAAAGATGCTAAAATTCTTGGTGTCTAATGTACATATTGTAATTCAGTGCTCATGAGATATTGCCCTGTTCTTCAGTTTCATGTACAATATTAGCACTGTTTAAAATCCTTCAGTTTATCTACTATTACTGACAATTTGGTCTGGCTTTTAAGCCCATCACTTAACACTGGTGGAATAACATGAGCCTGACACAAGCTGAGCTCTGGCTAGCGATACTCACTGCAAGTGTATGGTTCTTCCAATATTTGAACTATTCTATACTAGCAGACCTATAACTGCAGCCTGGCTTCAAAAAGTGGCACGCAGACTGGCTGCAAGACCTGTCAGTGCATTTCTTCACGTGACCCAGCTAAACATGCCTAGCTCCCAAGAACACAGCCCCCCACTTGTATACCCAGTGCTTCAACTGAACTGATGTAGAAGCAGCTTGACTTACAAAAGACAATAAATTTGCACTTAAAATACCTGGAAAATATTTGCAGACATGTCTGCAATGACAAATGATGTGAAAAATGCCAAAATTCTGCAATGTACACAAGACAGCTTTTTCTGTATCTTGCCTTTGTCAGTTTGAACGTGGGAGTTGGTAGGTGTTCTTTTCTCCCTCTTTTTTTTTTTAACATATCAGGCAAGCAAGCAACAAGAAGCCAAGCAACAAGACCTGTAATTTGACTTTTCCATATAATCCTAACAGGAGAAAGTTAGTAATAGAAAGAAGTAAACCAGCATTAGTCTTAAATGTCAGTGATAACATCAAAGCAAAAAACTAAGCCTTAGGCTAGCAAAGAAATGTCACTTTTTTTTTTTTTTTCTGAAATTACCAAGCAAAACAGTACTGAATGTTCCAATACTGCAAGCAAGGTGAAAAATGACATTCAATATGTATTTGTTTTTAAATTTAATCTTTATGAGTAAATCACTCCTTTTGTTTTCCCTACTTGGAATATTCAGCACAATAGAGTGAGATCCCTTGCACACTGAAAGGAACATTAAGCTCAGTGAGATTCTTTGTAAGCAGTTGCTACCCCTTTAGAAGCAATAAAAGATGAAACGAGCAAAACCAAGATCATCCTGAGAGTTCAGCACAGCAACAGAAGAACCACAACCTCATGCCAAGCTTCCTGATTGACCTTCACAAAGTTACCCAACTTGGATGCTCCAGTGTGCCCATCCATATAAAAGTGACACTGACCTTACTGTAGCATTATGAAGCATAACTATTTGTAAAATATGAAGTGCTCATACAAAGAGACACCAGGTGAAAACTATGCAGTCTTGATTGCTCTTTACAGCAATCAGTCTTTATTGTTCTCGCTATACTTAGTTTCTATTAACAGGCATAGGGTTTATGCCACATAAAGGGCACTGAGAAACACCACCTTTTATAAAGATAATAACGTATGAAGAGGCATATAAAATGTATTCTCTTCTCAAATATCAGCTTTTTGAGCACCTCTTTTGATAGAGGATATTTGCCATATACCTGACATACAGTAATGAAACTACTTTTTGAAGACAAGTGGGGTTTTTTTACATCTAGAGAAAAAGGACTCATCAAACAATATTGTGAAGGCAGAGGGCTGCAAGTTTGTGAGTACTGCTGTAAGCAGTTGCAAAACAGCAATTTAGTACAGGACAGAAATGTACATCAGAAGCTGCAGCGGCAGTATGTACAATTCATTTATTAAGGTACTTGAAATTCCTATTTCAAGTAATGTAAGAAGTTAATCTGCATCCAGCGGACTCCTTTAATTTTTGTAAATTACATACACAAAAAATCCTGAGAAAACTCTCTGAAAGTTACAAAATCAATTATTTTGAGCAGCTTCACAATGCAATTGGTTATTGCTAAAACATACCATTAGGCACACCACAGCATTTCATATTTTTTTTTTTTTAAAAACAGAAGACATAGTTGTAAAAGCTATTTTCCTACAGCATGTGAAGAATTCAAAGTGAGTTCTTGATTTACCTTCTATAACTGCTGCTATAGCCTTTACCTCGTGGTGAAGGGCCATGTACGAATCTACATGTGTTCCCATAGAGGCAGTTGCCAGTCTTCAGCCAGTTACGGCACTGTGTCTAAGAGACAGACATCACTGGGTGAATTTCACACTCATTTCTGGAAATACCATTGGTATGAGTGTGGCAGAACAAACAAATGACTCCACATTAACTCCCATTTATCTGTAAGTTCTGTCCACCAGTAATTTCATTCATATAAAAAAATTAAAAAAATCAACAACGAACATGAGGTCTGGCAAAGACTTTAGGTTGGTGAAAATACTATTTAAACGCACAGTACTACTGCTCCTCTCCAAATACTGAGACAATATACGTTATTTGAGAAGTCTAGTAATAGTATTTTGAACATCCATGTGTTAAGGAGTTCTTTTCACCATAATTAACAACAGTGACATCTGAGTATTTGACAAACTACTCTCTCCCACCATCTAGGTCCTGGAAAAGAAGAGGTTGGGATGGGGAGGAAAAGAAGAATACTTTTACAACTCACCTCTGCAGTACTTCCTGTGCTGGGTCCAAGCCTTTCAAACACACTGGGTCTTCGGGATGTGCTATCGGATATGGTCTTGGTATTTTCCACTGTGACCTTCCTTCTAATTTTTGACATTTTGTACTACTTCAACCAAAAAAAAAAGCAAAACTGTAAAATCCTTCATTTTTTTGAGCTATTGACACTGAACTCAGAGTAAAATACTACTATATACTTCGTAAGAGTTGCTGCAGAGGTGATGAAGAAAGGAGAAAGTCATAAATTAATGGAATGTACCTAATTACAAGAAATGCCTCCATTTTGAGCTCTCAGCTCAACACCAGTAACGATTGTTTTTCACTGTATTCTATGACCTGCTTTTGATTCTTCAGCTTCCCTTTGGGAAAGATCAGATGATATTCTATTCATTCAGAGAGCAAACAAGACACAGAACATCTGCTTTCCTCGATCAGGTGTTTTCGTGCAACAACTCAAGTGATTTCATGTGTAAAGAATATTAAATGTTACTTCACCAACCTCTCAGAAACAGGTTCTGACTAGTAAAAACATCTCCCAGCTTCCGAAAAAAAATATCTCCAAACAGATCTCCCATGTTCCTCCCTTTGCTGTGTGTGACAACCAGCTGAAAACCAACTTGCCATCACCCACACGCTGCATTCTTACTGCTTCGTTGTTTTACAATTATTTGGAACTGCTTGAGTTCAAGAATGAAGCGATGATATACTCCTTCAGATACCTCCTTTTATTAAAGAAAAGATTTTGAAGTGGATACGGCTTATGTTTGACAAATAAGGAAGCCACAGTTCATCTTACCTGGGTAAGGACGGAGTCATTAAATACAGGAATAAATTATATACATGTTTAAAAAAAAAAAACAAAAAGTAGATACGGGGCACCAGGGACAGGCTACAGAAAGAGGGCAAAATGGTTTTCAAACTATATTCCATTCTCTGAATGTTATTGATCTGCATGAAAATAAAATAAACCTAGGAGAAGCTGCCTGTTGCTGGACCTCTGCTAACATCAGTGTTCTGGAGCTTGTTAGCTGGAGCAAGGTGATTGCCAAACACCCAACCTTCTACACTTGTGCTGTCTCTTCTGCTCCCATCACCAAGAGATCACTGGGTTTAGAACATGCACACTTAAATCAGTTTATTTTCTCTTATGCTCAATAAGAGTTATCAATGAAGAGAAACTCATCTCTACTGTCAGAAGTAGACACATTTAAACTAACTACCAGATTGAGTTAATATACATTTTTAGTGATTTCAACAGTGACGTTTCCATAGCATTCAGATTATAAGGTTCCACTGCAGAGCAAAACAAAATATATATAATGTCACATTTTATATGCATGTATACATTTTTACATTAGTGTAACCTAGATTTTACACTTGATATTTCTATAGCGTCTATTTTTTTATATTGTACTTTAGTGGAACTTCATTATCTGAATCCCACAGTTTCTTTTAAGAACAAGACTTCCCTGGAGGTCTGACGTCCATGCACTTCCTACAGAAAAACCTGTGCTTACCCTCTTGCTAAGCACTTTATCTCCTTTACAAACAACTGGAGACAGACAACTTCAGGGATATTTTTCAGAAGTGACTAATTCTGCAAGCCTGTAACTATTTGAAGGGTTTTATCTCATGAGTAACATTCAGGTAGCCAAGATGCTCACTCGGAGAGGTAAGTAGTTAACCATGTAGTATTTAAGTATATACTGGACATTAAGAACAATGGTTAACATTAATTAGTGCTCTGCAGGACGAAAGCAGACAATAAAACAGAATTTGTGAGGAGTAAGGAATTATTTGGATTAGTAAAAACTGTGGGGAATAGAGAAGGCTTCTAGAAAGATCTAACTAAATAAGAAAACTAACCGAGTAACACAACAGCAGATGAAATGCAAATAAATATAATGTAATGCACACAAAGAGAAATGATTTTTATCTAAGTACTTGATGAGTTCAAATTAGTCCAGTCTTTTGAGAAAAACAATTAGGAGTCATTGTGGACAGCTCAATGTGCAACAGCAGTTATAAAGTCTGACAGGATAAACTACTAAAGTTAGAAAGCAAAACACCACCACATCTAATCTAGCTGACCACCCTTCTATTTCAGGATTGTTCCCTGCTGTATTTTAGTAAACAAAACACTGGATTTGTAAGGTTTCATGCAGTTACACCCTTTAATTGAGGATACAAAAAAAAAAAAATACTGACATATGCAAAACCATTTTTAATAAGACAATCACATACCAAATACTGAATTTGGTTTAAATGGTTAACAGTAAAAAAAGAACCATTATCTGAAACAGAAAAGGTTAGAAGAACGGCACTGGCAATGGCATAGGGAGAGGGTTTAACACATGAAGGACGAGTAAAATGAGTGCATCTAATACATAAGTAAAATACACAGTGACATGAGAGCAATATACAATATATGAATAAGAAAAAAAAATCTCATTCAATTTGCCTCTCAATATGTATATTCTTTTATTTTCAAAGAAACAGAGGCAATTTTTTCCCCAAATGTTACTGTTTATCACATAATTACTTTTCTAGCATTCACTTGCACAAGAAATTATGATGATGACTAGGCCTAAAAAGATAGTTAGAAGCATAGAGAGGATAAAGGGGGTAACATCATCATAACTGAACAGATACTCTCATTCCAAATTCCTAGTTTCTCATAGTTTGATAATTTCTTAGAAAGAAATTGAGGGCAACATCCCACCCTGCATCTCCAAAGTTTTGTAGGAAAACCTCTTTTTAAATAAAATAAAAAA